TTCCCTACTGACCTGCACGTCGTATCGTAGCTGCCTTGGCTGTTTTACAGCAGGCTTTTCCCTAGTGTCTCTTCTCTTTCTGAACTGTTAGATAATCCTTTGCTGAGCCATTCACATTAGTGAGGACTGAGAGCAGCATCAGGGCAAGCTGGGTGTTAGTCACATCCTGTAAGATGCCACCCAGCCCGAGCACCTCAGCGATGCTCAGCTTCTCCCACCCTTGGGCTCGTGTTTTCAAGGCATTTAATATGCAAATGTAAACATGTAAACATGTAGGACCAGAATGTTTTCCAGATGGCTGGAAAATTACATATTCCAGGAAAATGACATGCACATGTAAACAGAACTTCGTAAAATAGCCATCCAAGGACCCAGATCTTTGCCGTGCCTGGTTTTAAAGGTAAATGGGTTCTCTAGTTCTAAAAATATGAGAAAGCTCTAACTTCCTTGTGGACCTTCTTCCACCACCTACTTTTTTCTTCATTATTTATCAAACATTAGGCTTACTCTAACATAAGCCACGTTTTAATGCATGTCGTTGTGCACATACGAGGTTTGGGTTATATACCTTTCCTAGTATCATGCTTGTTTACATGAAGAAACATTTGGCAGTTCTGTGTGCTGATTACTTGCAGACTTGTTGAAGTGCTAGCTTTAGCTGAAGCTGAAGGAGGAAAGTAGCTTTGCAGAAAGCTTCATTATATTAGGATTGGACATGATGGAATAGCTCTGTGTCTTTAGAAGTTAATTTATAGCTCAGCTTAATCCTTCACATGTCTTCAGATCTGGAATCTAGTAGACAACTGTCTGTAGAAATACCTTCTGACTTGGATGGCATCACACCTAGAGTTTATTTAGGAAAAATACAACAAGGAATCCTAGAGGGAGCTGGAATATCTCACAAATAAATGGTTAATGCAGTGATTTTGTTACAAACAAGTTCCAGAAAAATTCTACTGTCCTCCGTTCATACAGGCAGCTTGGTGAGTAAAGGTGATAGTGAGAATGGTGGAATCAGACCAAAAAAAATCACATGCCTTTGTTCTAGCACTATATTTTTTTAAAAAAAAAAGGTTGGATGTTTTGCTGCTGACTTTATTTGAAGGGGGAGTAAGGTACTGAGTTAAGAATTCAACCAGATGTTGAATGTTTTCTAATCTGGTATTTTGTCGTGTATGTTAGATTAATGCTAGATTCGAGACACCACGTTCTGTTTGCATTCCTGTGTAATCTGGTGTTAATGAATTGTTCAGAATCCGTCCCTCTGCCCTGAGCATGCTAGCCAAGATTGCTGGGGTGTTTTTAACTTTTCTTCTAACACAGGAATATGTCTGTGATGGTGACTGATCATATAACTGCTTGATACTTGTTTCTGTCCAGTCTTTTCTTTCTGCCTTACGGTGTGTTATTTTTTTTAATGTTAATGCTGCAATGATGTTTCTACCTATCGTGTGAACTCATGTAATGAAAATGCGTGTTTTTGCAAGGGCGAGGAGTAGTTAATGTTCTCTTCATTCAGAATGGCTAGATTTCTTTTCAGGCTTTTAGTAGTTTTTAGTTTCTGTAACTTAATAGCTCTCTCATTTCAGAAATGCTTAAAAAACCCTAAAATTTCAAAGCAATATGGAAGAGATTGTGCTGAACAGGCAGTCAGGGACTATATGTGTGTATATGTCTATCTATAGATGTCCAATTATATGTAGATAGACATATATATTTTTTACTGTGACTACTGAATTTTCGGGAAGTTTAAGATAAAAGAAGCAAATGTGTCTGGATTCGGTGGGAAAATGTTTTGGACATTGATTAAAACCTGTTAGAGTGATTTTCCTGAGTTCAGTGGATCTGTGAATTGAAGCAATGCAAATAACTTTTAAATCTTAAGGCTGATTAGTAGTGGGAGTAGGGGGGAGGGTGAAGGCTGATTAGGAACAAACAGGAGGAGGATTAAACCAAACTTTCCCAGATTAAGTGTGTTTTGCAAAGCAGTATTACTACTAGGTCAGCAGAGCACTTTGCTTACTTCATGTTCCCTATGCCACATAGCACATGTAGAGCAAAATCTGGTTAGAGGTTGGGAGAAAGGGAGAAAGACCCAGGATTAACTTTCTCACATGGGCTGGAGCAGCGTAGGAAGTATTTGTGTGTAAAATCATGAAAATCGTGACCTGCTGGCATCAGTGTGGGACTCTGTCCGCACATCAGCCCCAAATCCACAAGTAAACTTTGTGTCAGGCCCTTCCATCGTTTCTGTTTGGTTGTGCTTTGTTTGTTTGTATCTGTAGTACCATGCCATGAGCATCTGCTTGAGATCTAGCTGCGGCTTTTGTCCCACGGTCACATGCTCGACACGGTGCTGTTAACTTGCATGCCATTGAAGCCTGCAGGATTTCTGTTTGCCCACGTTATCCCATCAGAATTCCAGAGACACTTCCTGGGGAAGGGTGGTCATTAGGAGATGCTTCCTCCACACACCTCGCTGCATTGCCATCCCACCAACTGTCCCCTGTAGATGAGTAGATATGCACTTTATTACTCTTTATTAATTTATCGGATATCATGGCAGGATGAGGTGGGGTGGGGGGCACTGACGATCTGGTAGTCTTAAAAAACAAACTGCTAGACAGCTTTCAGGATTGCTAGCACAAAGCAATAGCCTTTAGTGTCAGAGTGTTCTGCTAAAGCTTCTCCTCATGTTAGACAGTTTAAGCCGAAAGCTTTTTTTTTTTTTTTTTTTCCAAAATCCATTTCAGTCCACAGAGTTGCAGACTTTGCAGGAATAAGTGAACTGAAAGAAAAAGGGAAAAGAAGAGGCATGTTTCTAACTTTCAGGTTACTTTCAAAAGGTTTTCCTCACCTTTGCTCGGTTATAAATCTGACAGCTGCCCCACAGTTCCTGTGTGAAGACTGTCCTCCTTCCTCAGCTCTGCCTTTGAGGAGATGCTCATGAAAAACATCCCAGGCCTGGGAACCTCCCTGCTTCTTTTTGTCCTGTGATCTCCTGTTTGGGCTCCACCCAGGTGTGCACAAACACACACACCCTTTTGACCTCGTTGCTCCACATGGAAGGAGTCTCATCCTTCCTGTCATCAAGCCCTTGCTTGCCAGCTTCCACTTTGGGGGCTGACAAAGTCTGTCTCTCAGGTGCCCTTACTGCCTCGGGGCAGACAGCTGATGTCCATTCCCCTTCCCTGCAAAGCTCCTGACAAGGTTCATCAGCATCCTTCTCCATCTGCTGGTCTGGGAAATACTTCAATGCCAAGTGTTTGTATAAAGCTTTCTCGTATAAAAGCCGCACAATTAATGTAACCAACTTGCAAATCTTACATGATTCCGGGCTACTAAATACTGTGTGGAAGTGTAATGCTCATTACTAGTTGATCAGAAACGGGCACAAAAAGCTAATCCATCTCTGTGACATGAAAATGGTCCTGGAGAGCACATGGTCCGGGTTTGGACCCAGACTAGCTCAATTTCTGAGCTCTTGTTTGTGCTTGGGAAGGCCCCTGTTCCCACATCTCCATCCAGCAGGAGTGGGAGTAAAACCAGCACAGGAGGCTGCTGCCGCCGAGGCTGCGGCAATGGCTCCCTGCTCTTTCCGAGTGCTTGGGCACATCTGGGACCCGGGCTGGCTGTTTGGGATCAGCCTTGGTGTCTCTGTTAGCCCTGGCACCTCGAAGCCGTGCAGAAGCACCAGGCTGTGCGCAGCACGGCCGGGATGGCGCGAAGCCAAAGCAGAAGCTATTGCAGAGGCTCTGGCCCAGGTTGGCAGCTCTGCCTGTGCTGTTCCCTCAGGGCAGCAGGGCAGAAAAGGAGGGCGCACAAGTTCTGCCCAGGTGTGAAGAGCTTTCTGCTGCAGCCCCGGGACAAAGAGTGCTCTTACAACAGCTCAGAGGTTGCTCTGAATTCAAAATTCAGTTGCTCTGAATTTTACAAACTTTCTGCAATCTTAACATATTCAGAGAGGGGAATAGAACGTGCTAAGACTTTAAAATGAGATGAAAACTGATTAGCTTTCTGAGTAACCAAGGAAGAGAAACATCCAACAAGGGCTAACGTAGATCCCCAGTTTCACCTTTTTTAAAAAAAAAAAAAAAAGATAACGTAAATCCCCAGTTTCACCTTTTTTTAAAAAAAAAAAAATCCAATTTTAAGTCACTGTTAACTAATCAGACTCTGAGGAATTGATACAGTACTAAGTCTTGTAAAGGTATTAAATAAAGGCTCACTTATCCAAAAGCTTGTCTGCTTTTCTTTTTCTTTTTTTTTTCTCCTTTAGTTATATCAATCAAACTTATACATTCTTACAAGTCTTGCTTTGGGTAGCTCTAAATATGTGCATACATTCACTGGACAGATTAACTGTGAGAATACAGAATAATGAGCTGTTCTGCACTCCTCTCTCAGCTTAAAGCGGTGTAATTGTGTCAATACATCTCATGAGCAAGAATGCATTATATAAAGGTGCATCCATGGACACCCTTTATTTCTGAAAATTTTGGAGAAAGATGATTAACCTGTATGAAATATTCTTATGTTGGTACGACTTAGTACATGTTTGAGGTTGTATTGTTGTGAGTTTTATTATTTTTGAGAAAAAAAAAATCCTATCTGTAGTCAAAGTAGATTAAAGCAAACTCTGTATTGATCAGGTCTGAAGTACATCTGCTATTACTGCTCCTCTGTGCAGGTATCTTGGGGTTGGTTGTTTGTACATATCTGAACATGGGGAAGAGTAGTCAGAGATTCAGTCAAGAAACTGGTAACAAAGTAGAAACAACCGTCCTAGAGACTTTTAATTATTTCTATTAATTTACTGCTTTTATTTCTATTAACTTTTCTCTTTTATTTCTAGAATGAAATGTGTCTTGCCACACAACAGCTTTCAAAGCAGCTCCTTGCCTATGAAAAACAGGTATTGTTGATATTTTACCTTTGGTTTCTGTTCAGCCTCAGCAGTTGTGAAGAAGCCTCTTCAAAGAGTGTCGTTTCCGAAAGTATTTAGAACATTGGCTTACTTGATTCCATGTGAAGACATTGGAAAATTCCCTAGCATGTTGAGGGGAATTAGGTCATTTTGAAGCACCTTGAAAAGCCTAGTTCAAAATGTGGGTTAATTCATTTAGGTGCAAACCACTTTGTTCTCATTGTATGACCATGACTTTAAAATACCCATTAACTATATGCTGTGCAAAATCACTTCCTTTAAAACAAGAGGAGCAAAGTAGAAAGGATATGTAGTAATGAGTTCCTATTTTTACGTTTAGCTTTGTCCTCTATTACCTTTTTCTAGGAGTATGTATTACTTCTCTAGTGAAACATATGCTTATATACTTATACTCACTGTATTGATTTACAGACCAAATGTGTGTTTCTGTTTTCAGCATTTTGCCTTAGGTAAAGGAGATGAAGAAGTGATATCCACTCTTCATTACTTTTCAAAAGTTGTGGATGAGGTAATTTGAATTGCCAATAGGACTTTTTGTTGTTGTTTGTTTGTTTTGCTTTGATGATATGTCCTTTGGATTCAGAGCCTTCCCACTGGAGGGTGGGTTGCCTTGGTTCTATGCCACTATTTAAGCAAGGGGGAAAGGGAGCATAAATCTTTTGAAACAGCCTCTTCACACCTACAGATCACTAGAGCTGCTTCTCTGTGTCCTTCTCACAAGTCGTCCTCGGAGCAGAGCTGCACTTGCCAAGTGGGAAAATTAGAAAAGAGACTAAAAAAGACACCCATCAGCTAAAATGGGGTCATTTCTAATTTCACTCGATTGAAAAAAATCAATGCATTCACACTTACAAGCTTTAAACGCTGATCCCAAACTTTCCAGGGATGGAGGTAGGACACCTACGCATTAGCAAAGTTCCTGCGGGCTACAGGAAATAGAGCTGCATCCTTGCTAGGCCCACTCATATAATATTTCAAGCTAATCTCCTTATCAGCTAAGTATCCTTCTTTGGTGTGACATCACTCTTCTTGGTCCAAGCAGGGCTGTGTGCTGTGAGAGGTAAAAGAACTATCCTGAAGTCTGATTTTGGTGAGGAGACAGGAGATAGGAGAGATGGGGGGGGAAAAAAGGAGGTTAAAAAATTGATACTCATGCTCATCCTCTGGGTAACTGTAGTGATTTAATGAAAGGAATCCCAAAGGTTAGCTTTGCCCTTCGGCCTCTCTTGCTGCATACCATCTGTGTGGGAGTGCAGCAGAAAGAATACTCTGGGAATAGATATCAGATACTTGTCTTGATGAAGTACAAACAGATAAAAAACAGAACTTTCTGCTTCTCAGGTACAAAAGAATCTTCCCCTTTGCAGGTTGAAAGCTGGGAACCTTTGTATTCCCTTTCGTTGACAAGAAACTGCTCCTTTGCTTAGCCTCCTTTTACATGTGTTAGCCAGTCCCTGTACCTGTTATTTGCCAGTTGTCCATTCTGCAGGCATTGAATTACCCTGCTTTAGTTTTGTATCATGTAGTGAGAAATAGAGACTTCCTCCCTGTCTGTATAACCCTGCCTGGAGGCCTCTGGAAAGATAACGTGGCACTTCTGCAGCTTAGTAGACATTCGCCTGAATACATCCAAAGATGAATTTTTAATAATAATTATGGTAGTAGGGTTAGACATTTTTAGCAGTTACGGGCTGCACCCAGTTGTGTAGAGTGCTGTACAAGCATAACAAAGGTCTCTTTTTGAAAGCATTTATGTGCTTTTGCTTGCAAGAGAAAAATAATTTAAGTTGTATATATGATGTATTTAAAAGAGCAAGAAGTTTCCCAAGAAATTTTTGCCCTTTATGACACAGGTAAATGCTTATGCTTTGTATCACAGATGAACATGGGTTTCTAAGTAGAATTCTGACATTCAGGAGGGCTAAGTTTGTTTCATGGAGATGTACGCATCACTCCAAGTTCAGCAACAGGCAGTGGATTATTCTTCTTATGTACATTGTTTCTCAGGGGCACTCCTCTCTTTCAGCTCAATATTCTCCATTCTGAATTGGCAAAACAGCTTGCAGATACGATGGTTCTCCCAATAATACAATTTCGGGAAAAGGATCTCACAGGTAAGTTTAGTTTTAGTTTCTCTCTTGGTATTTTCTTGTGTGATTTATTTCATAGTAAGCTGAGGCTGAATGCCACATGCAAATTTGTGCAAAATAGTGCAAATTCACCACGTTTTATGCAGATAGTGCAAGTTTGAAAATGTGTGGCTTTATTCTTCATCGAGGCCCTCTGCTTTTACATTAGTGTAATTTCACTGGAGTCAATGATATTATTAACCAAAGCAGGGAAATTTTGCAGTGGATCCGGCTTGCAAAAAGGATTAACTTTAGAAGTTTATGTTCATTTGAAAGGCCACATCAGGATTTTTTTCTTTCTTAATATGTTGTATTCTCTCTTTAAGCAATCTGTCCTCTTTAAAACTCTGCTACCCCGGGAAAGTTCAAAGTAATATGATTGCACAAACTTAGAAGTTTCTTATTTAAACAGCAAAGCAGCAATAGCGCAAACATTTGGTATAATTTCAAAGGAGGGTTGATATTTAAGGTCAAGGACATTCTAACCTACTCGTGCAACAGAAACATGAGATTTTAGCGCAGCATGTTCAGCTTACTCTCCTGTTTACTTTTTAAAGACATTTTATTGGGAGACAGAACAACTGCTACCAAATAATAGCCTGTTTATGTTCCTTATATCATACCGTACTGTTAAAAAAAATCAAGATGTCTCCATATCAAAAAGGATGTTTTGTTTATAAGGTAGTGTTAAAAATCAACTTGGATGTTAAGCACTTGGATGTTAAGATTTTGGGTCTATAAATGCCCTCACCACTCCCTAATGTGGCTTTATTGTCATGGTGAGTCCACCCCCAATTTAGTGTCCTCTGTCCCCTGGTGCATACGAGGAGAGCATGGAAAGAAGAGGCAAGTGAAGCCTGCAACCAGAAACCTCAGCTGTTTCAGACATGACAAACAAGTTTCTTTTGCTTCCTTGGATGTTGAAGTCCCTTATATTCCACCCATCCATCCCAACCTCCATTTTTGTCTGACAGTAGAGAAGCATTTTCAGTGGATAGTCCTGGATGCATTGAAATTTCCCTGTAGGCTTAAACAAAGGAGCAAGGAAATCTAACTGTGTTCTCCTGCTTCTAATCCTGTTACCTGCATGTGCTGAATGCTGTAGAACTCTCTAGGTGGAAGTTAGTTGCACCTGAGCAAGCGTTTCTGTTTTCTTGCATTAGAATCAGAACAGAAGTGTTGTGGGAAGAAAAGGTTTAGTCAGTAAGCTGATCTAAGAGTTGGCTGTTACAAATAACCAGAGTTATTTGTCAGAGTTTCCCTGATTTTTTTCCACAGTTACATAATGGCTGTTCTGATGAATGCCCTTTCTTTGCAGCTTTCTGAAAAGGGCTTTGCCAGTTGTGGTATATAGTGGTACGGACACTGAGGGCAGCTTGTGCCCAATACTTGTGAAAACTGAATCTCATATTTAGCTTTTCTTCCCTCTACATGAATCAGAAAGTTTTGGCTGATGTTTGTCTGAGAAGCACCATAGCCAGCAATCAGATGTGTTTGATAACTGTTTCTTTTCACAGAGAAGTTTAGCAAAAAATAGAGCTCTGCACTAACGAAGATTCCCTGACAAGGAAGGGGCTTTATTTCAGGTGTTGTGCTAGTCTGTGGGACCTACTGAGATTTCTGTGTCTCATGTAAGCCTAGTCAGGAAGTTGTTCAGGACTGCTGGTCTCTTACAGTGGTGGTGGACCTTTTGTGATGACAAGCATAGAGAAATGATGATGCTTTGGGTTAATTAGCAGCAGATATCCAATCTTGTTCATATTCGTATGTCATTCAACAAAGTAAAGTTGGCTCTTACTTTTCTATCTGTCTGCTCATTTCTCAACCAGCTGATGAGATTTATCGTTTTCAAGACAGATACATTTTATATATCTCTTTAGGAGGATTAGAATGACTTGGGCATTAAGCATGCAGTGGTCTCAGTTGAACAAATGGTGTTTACAGCTTTTTATATTTTGAATGTTTTTCTTTTCCAGAAGTAAGCACACTGAAGGATCTCTTTGGCCTTGCTAGCAATGGTATGTGTCATGGGTTGGTGTGTTTCTAGTGGTGTGCCCCGACTGTTACATCTCAGAAGCCATTTGAAAGCCATTTACACACACATCCCAATTCTAAAAAAATATTCCTTGTCTGCAGAACATGACGTGTCCATGGCAAAGTATAGCAGGTTACCGAAAAGGAAAGAAAATGAAAAGGTAAAGAATGAGAAAAGGAAAAGGAAAAGTTTTCATCAGCTCTTCTGTCTACATCATTACAGCTAATCCTTACATGCACTAATGAACTTTTGAGAGTTCATCTCTTGAATTCACAACAGCTCAAGAGTACTTGTGATTTAGTTTCCAAGCAGACACAAAGCTTTTCGACTTCAGTTCAACAAGATTTTACCTGTTTACTCCAAAGAAAGCAAGTGATCAAGTATTTTGCTGAACTAGAGCCATTTGGATGCAGGAGAGATCTTGAGACAGAAACAAGCCAAATAGATATAATGAGATTTGCATCGGGCTACTGCTGTACAGCTGATGTGATGATGCTGTATCAGTGAGTACAGTTCATTGGGCGCTGTGTCGTGAAGCCTCGTGTCTGCTCTATATCAAACATTTCATTTTCCTCATCTGCCTTCCTGCTGTGTTTCTCTGTGTGCATTGTAATTCTGCTTACAGCACATGAAACTGATTTCTTGGGACTATTTATGTATCTTCTTCATTGCTAACTGGACCACTGCTCCAAAGGACGCTCCTGTATGCCAAGAATATATGATTAGCTCTGTCATGAGTGCTTCAATTCTAGAAGGACAGAGCAGTCCTTTCAGAGAAATGCATTGCAGAAGAGGAGGTGATAGAGCACATGGTGAACTGTTCACCTGTGAATTCTGCACTTCCAAGCCTGTGTTGTGACCCCAGCTGCAAATAAATGTCTTGTATCTGACTGCATTGCAGTCAGATGCACTGTGTTAGTTTCAGTACTTGTATAGTTTGTAGTCCTCGTGGCTGCCCAAATGCTTAAGCAGCTAGAGCAGAACTTGAAGTACTTGATTTGGAGGTTGGCTTGCTTTGTTTCTCATCCTTCATTTTAATGTGGAGAGGTTCTATAGTGACAGTGCTGTAATTATAACTTGAAAATAATTAGTAAATATATCCAGGTGAACAGCAACGCTTTGTTCAGACTCTTTATCAATTTTTATTCAGCTGAAGGCAGAAGTGGCCAAAGAAGTGGCAAATGCGAGGAGAAAGCAGCATCTTTCATCTCTGCAATATTACTGTGCCCTGAATGCTCTGCAGTACAGGAAGAGAGTGGCAATGATGGAACCTATGCTAGGATACGCACGAGGACAGGTATGGATGGTAAAGTTACAGTATCACCTAAGTAAACCACTGGGAGCCAATCAGAACTTCCTTTCCTTGTATTTTATCCAGCAAAAATTGCCATATCTCAGTGCTTAATGCTGGAAAGTCTAGGGCTGTGGGAGTAACGGTGAAGCCAGAAGTCAGTGATATTGATGCTTAAATCCTGTGAAGCACCTTCAGCTTCACCAGTGCATGTTTTCTTTATTAATTACTCAGAACTGATGAGCCTTCTGTTTTGCACTTCTGCAGAATGATCAGGCCCTAAAGAGTTTTCTGGAAGAAGCAGCTGCTAATGCAGGGTTTGTTTAACTGAAAAGTTGCATCAGCATCCAAGCCAGGCATGTCAGTCTCCTTGTAGTCAGTGGAATTTGAGACCCTTCCTTCCTAAAGTAGGTTACTGAAACAGAAGAGGTGAATCATTCTTTAAGAGAGCTGTTTCTCTCCTTTGTCTATAAAGGGAGAATTGCCTGGTCACTAACTTAGTTGCAGAAATCTGTGTTATAAGTGAGAGGAATCCCATCTCCCAAGGTTAGGGGAAAAGAAATAGAACTGTGAGTACTGCAGGGTGAGAGGGAATAAATTGCTCAACGGCGAAGGATTGTTCCGGTATTTTTACATTTCTGCCAGAGGTAGCTCCCTGGGCCTTTCCAAGAAGGCTCATTGATCGCATGCACGCGCTGTCCTCGTCGGGTTTCACACGGCTGTTGGGATGTCCTGGCTGTGGCGGTGCCGCACGGAGGGTGATCCCAGGCCAGCTCTACGCTGAGGGCCTTGCTGCTCTTGTGTGCCTGCTAAGCCATAGCTCTAAAGTGTTCTCGGCACGAATTCACCCTCAGTCTCAATAAGTGCACTTTGGCCTTTGTGACTACTTGCAGCTCCTCTCTTGGGGAAAATCAATGGCAAAAATATATGTCATATAACTGGTTGCCCTGGAGGCTTCTGCTGACACAAATGCACTGGTTGTATAACATCACTTTCCCAATGCCATAGAAGTTTAAAAAATTTTAGGTTGGATTTTATCTACTAAGTACCTGGTACCTGTCTCCTTAGCCCTTCAGCAGCCTCCTCAGGAAGGTGCCTGGCAGCAGCCTGTAGCTGATGTGTCTGCAACAGGGTGTGGAGGGGCTGGAGGGGAGCAAAAGGGAGAAGGACAAAGAAAGGAGGGCAAGGCAGTTGTTTTAACCATGTCTTTGATTGCCAGCCCAAGGTGTTGGTCATCATGGGACCCCTGTTAACACAAACTTCCCTGCCAGGACCTTCCAAGATAACTTCCAGCATCCCCTTGTTGTATATTTTACAGATCAACTTTTTTAAAAAAGGAGCAGAGATGTTTTCCAAAAGGATGGATAGCTTTTTGTCTTCTGTTTCAGACATGGTTCAAAGGTAAGAGGATACTTAAGCTTCCTGTTGTTTGTTCCTTTGAATTCTGAGCAATACTGCAATGATCTCCAGCGCGCAGTGGACACGGCCTGCATGCCTTATTCAGGGAGAATGCTTCCATGTTTTTATTGCATGCCTGGGTGTGTGGTGACAAAGCAGCAGGTGGAAGGGAGGTCTGTTTGTGCATACAAGGGAAAATTCTGTCAGTGCACTAGACTGTACAGTGCAGCCAGTAACTATATAAAGTGTTTAAAGGCACAAGAGGGACATTTCTGTATCTCTTCCTGAACACACAAGCATAGAATTTGAGCTTAAGAGGGCTTAATAGAAGTAATAGTATAATAGAGCTAAAGTGCTGAAGTACAGGCATTTATGCTTTCTGGGTCTGCTGTAGCCAAAATAAATTATTCTTACAGTAGCATCCCAACCTAGATTTTGGGCCAGTGGTTGATGATCTATGTACATAAGGCAAATAAAGCCTATTGCCTAGAGAACATGCTCATGGCGTCTGATGTAGGCTGTGTCTGTGCCCATGAGTTCAAACTCTTTTGGATGAGACCTTATTGAAAAAATACCCTGTTTTAGCACGCCTCATTTTGTGATTATTTCTTCTTTTCTCTCTCTGAAATTTTTCTTTATAATTAAGTCTCTGTAATTGTTGTAAACTTTGCATTTAAAATGAAATAGAGAAAACATGAAATACTGATTTTAAAATCTGGAACACTAGGTTGATTCCTTTGCCTTTTGCTTCTTGCCTTCCATATTGGAATGAAGCTGCATGATTACTTTTACTGGAGTTCTAAATAATGTATATTTGTTAATTTGAGAGCAGTGTTATAAATAACCTCACTGTGTAGTAGATTCTTTATTTCCTGCACCCTTATGTTTATTCCTACACCTTTTAACACTTGCTCTTCAAGCAACTCCCTCCACCCTCGACACAGCATTTGTACAGAGCGGGTAACAGATTTTAAACTCCCTTAAAACAGTGCTCTTTTTATTTATTAAGAGCATTTTGTCTGTGTTTTACAGGCTCTGTGTGCAAGGACCACTTTGTATATTTACAAATTCTTGCTGTATCCTCAGCATAGAATAAACCCTTGTTTTTCAAAATCTCTGGACAGTACACAAGGCTGAATGGAAACAAAAACAGGCTACTTGCCTGCTTTGCTGGGTCTGCCTCTCTCCTTTTTCTTTTTTTTCCCTCCCAAAGTCACATAGCAAAGCTCGAAAGCATAACCCAAGCATGGCTAAAGCAGGGCTGGGGGGTCCTTGGGAAACCTAGAAGAGAAGCTTGCAGAATTCTGGAGCACACGTTATACGACTTGGCAGTTAACAACACGAGCCATGGCTTCATGATTTAAGATCACACAGTCATTGAAATTTGTGTCCCTTTCTTCCCTGGTGCTGGGAATCACAAGGCCAGTAGTGAGCAGATCTGCTGCTGCTCTAACTAAAAGCTTTTTATTTGGCAGATTTGTTTTCTTTCAGGACAGCAAGTTAATCCAGCTCACTGTGCAGGTCCAGAATTCCAGCAGCAATGTAGTCCACTTGCAGTCCACTTCTGCAGTTCATATTTCACCAGTTTACTCATAAAAATGTTATGGGAAACCAAGTGAAATAACATTCACTACTCTCCTCCCATCCACCAACCCAAGTCATCTCACTGCAGAAGGCAGTCAGGTTGGTCAGGCATGGTTTGCCCCTGGTTTGTGGGGGCTCTTCCTAGTCACCTTCCTTTCCTTCATGGGCAAGCTTGGAAAAGGCTTGTAGGAGAATTTGTTCCATGTCCGTGTGAGGACCTGAGGAATAGCTGATGGGCACACTTGCCTAGATTCTGTTTCTTGCTTTTCTTCACCAGGAGGGGCATGCCACTTGCCTTTTTTTAGTCATGGAAACCCTCCCTGACCACAGTGACCTTCAGAAGATGACTGAGCCCAGGGGCACAGCCTTGCAGGGGCAGCAGCCAGTTGGACTTCAAGCCACACAAAGGACAGTGCAGATAGATGATCTAAAACCATCTGTTGTTTTCTTGTCCGTGGAGGCACCAAATAGCACTAGCAGCTATATGGAGTTCCATGATGTACTTATCTGACAAGTCTAGCAGTTATTTTTTAAAAATACTAACTTTATTATGTCTCATTTTCAAGTGGCAGGCCTTTAGTAGCTTCGTGATTGAGCCCATCTGGCTGATGTGATTGATCAGGATGATCTACCAGCCAAACTCAGCCTTGCTAAGGCTGATGGAAACAAAGGCAGGACTTTTGGTCTGGTAGACCTGTTAAAATGATCAGTGGGAAGCTCAGAAAATTAAGTGATTGCAATTATTGTCTGAGAGAGTAACATGGGGGAAAAAAAATAAGGCATTTCTGGCATATCATATAATAACCCTGACTTGCTGCTTTTATTTTCCCTTTTTTTTTTCCCATTAAAATCACTAGTCTGATTTCCACTTCAAACCAGACACATGTTACAGGAGGATTATGCATATGTAGATGTTCAACACTGTCTGTATATGTCTGTATGATATGTATTCTACAAAGAATGATCACTTTCTGAGTTGAACTTGCACTCAGATACCTTTCCACAATTACCACTTTCAGCAAACAGGATGAGTACAGGTATTTTCAAAAAGAATTCAGTTTGGGCAGTCTACACTAGGGTGCTTTCTAAAACACAACAACGTGTAAAGCTGTATTATTAACAAAAATTAAAGATAAACCAAGACTTGAGTTGCAGATTTTGCTAGAATATTTTCTTGTGTTGGAATCAATGGAAAATTTACTGCTGGAAATCAGTCAATCACTGGTCTCAGGATGAGAATTCCAACAAGTTACACAGTTGCAGGAATAGGACTGTGAATAAGCAGGAGTGAGTTCTGTGAAAGCCAGGATGCATCACAGTAAAACCTACTGTGAATAGAGCCACTCGCAGCCAGGTGGGTCTTGAAGATCTCCAAAGAAGGAGCCTCCACAACAGGCTGCCCAGAGAGCCTGTGGAATCTCTCTCTCTGGAGATCTTCCAAACCCGCTTGGATGCCACCCTGTGCCACGTGCTCTGGGTGTCCCTGCTGGAGCAGGGAGATTGGACTAAGTGATCTCTAGAGGTCCCTTCCAACCTCAACCATTCTGTGACTCTGACTATGCTAGAGACACTTTTGTGTATGTTCAGCACTATAAAGCCATACAGGCATTGCTCTTAGGAGCTGTGTCTCAAAAACAGACCTTGTCTCTTCACTCTCACCATTTAAATATCCCTCAGGTGTATCCATCTCATGTTTACAACATACTCTGATATTTTTGGTCATCTCTTTATGGTGCCTGGAGAAAGAATATAACAAACTTTAGTACAAGCAATATAAACTTTAAGGAGGAAAAAAAAGAAAAAGGCATAGCTACTCTGTAAAACATATGGAAAGTGACATCTTCAAGCTGTGATTTCAAAACAAAGAGCAAGGGGAAATCTTGGCCCTGCTTTTCCTGCCAGCCTGCCCAAGACAAGCTGTGTTTTCTGTAAGCCCTTGTCCCTGTCAGCAGAGCGCGTGCGTCCCGTCTCCTTGGCCTCAGGTGACATTTGCTGGGATAGCTCCTGCTCGCGTGTCTCTTTCTGCCAGTCTTTCCAAACTGCACTGATTTATCCAGTGCTTAGAGAAACCCTTGGACATGTAACTTATATCATCTTTCCTGGAAAGTCTGTTTGAAAAAATGAAGTTTATATTTATATTTCCCCCCCAAAAAAGTAGGCAATTTTGCTCAAAGGCTTTATAAATTTAACTGGAGTCATATATCATCTCAGCTGGTATCTTTGTTCTTGTAGGGTTTACAGGTGTTAGCTGTATCCTGATACAAACAGACTAACAGTGACCTGTTGTTTCCCTGCTGCCAGCATACAGGGAGAGCTGGATGCTGAAGCTGAAGCAATGAGGGTATCGCAGCAAGACTTAATTTCAGTTAATGAATCCGTTTACACTCCGGACTCTGATGTAACTTCACCTGCTATCAATAGAAATCTCATCCAGAAGGCTGGCTACCTCAATCTAAGAAAGTAAGACGGCGATTGCTATTTGCTAATTTGTTTGTTTGCTGACTAGCTGCTGCATTTGTTTAGGTTCTAAAAACTCTTAATGTAATGGGCTTTTAGCCTGCTAAATTGTGTAGTTGTTCTACCTTTCAGTTTCGAAATGTCTCTGTCATTTTTGAAAACAGAGGTTAAAAGCTTAAACCAATTAGACTGTGGTTTTTTTTTTTTGGTGAGTATTGGACACTTGCTCATTTCTAGCAGCATGCTAAGAGCTGAATCACAGTGTCCAATATAAAGGACTTAAAGAGCTAAGCAGAAGGAGGACTAGGAGATACTACTGCAGAATTTACTTTCTTAATGATGACTGTGCTAAATTTTTTTCTCGCTGCTCATCAGCTTGACAATACATTTTTCTATGAAGCTAAATAATATGCCAGTTACAATAAAAATCCTTTTATTCCCTAGCTAGGAGGCAGTGCTGATTTATATAGCTAGCTAGCTTTTCTTTCATCAAGGATTCATCTCAGCTAGGAACAAGTGCATCTTTTAATTCTAAACTTTTTTTTCATTTAAAAAAAAATTCAGGTTTGAAAATAAAGTCTAGCATAGCATCGGGATATATTCACAGTTACATAAGGTCATTTGGAGCCGTGTCTAAAATGCTACTGACTCTTCAGCACTGCGTATTCTCTTCAGTAAAACAGGTCTGGTGACGACCACGTGGGAAAGGCTGTATTTCTTCACTCAAGGTGGCAACTTGATGTGTCAGCCCCGGGGAGCAGTAGCTGGAGGATTGATTCAGGATCTGGACAACTGCTCCGTGATGGCCGTAGACTGTGAAGACAGAAGATACTGCTTTCAGATCACCACTCCTACAGGCAAACTGTACGAGACACAGGTTTCATTTGAGGACACCTGCCTTTCAGATGGTGTTTCCATTAAAGATGCTTGCTATAATAGTAAGGTTTTCTAGGCCTCCAGAAGGCTGTTTCCAAATTATAGGGATGTTCATTCCAATCTGCCTCCCCATACAACGGCCTGAACAGCAACTTTGGTATCATTTAGTGCAGTCTATTCATGATTTTTGTTCCTTTGATAGTTAATAGAGAAAAAGTGGTGACCTTAGCATATGACCCACTGTGTTTACATTTTAGGGGTATAACTCTTCAGGCAGAAAGCAAGAAGGAGTATGAGGAGGTAAAAATATTTTCTTAACATTGTCATTCTTGTACACAAACGAGTTCGAAGAGCTCAGTTTCGTTTTTCCTTTTAGTGGATATGTGCCATCAACAACATCTCCAGACAGATCTATCTCACTGACAATCCCGAGGTAGGAGCTCGTTTCCATCCGTGAGCCTGTTCCTTCCAGCTTGCTGGGGTTTGCTCTTTGCGTGACAACACGCCCGGAGCGCAGGTGTGCAACAGGAATTGCTCTTGGTTTTCTTAGGCAGCTGCTATCAAGTTAAATCAGACGGCCCTGCAAGCAGTGACTCCCATTACCAGCCTGGGGAAGAAACACGAAGTTCAGCATCCCAGGTAACATCCTCGTTTGAGTGGGCTGGAGGCTGCTGAGAGGCTGGTGCAGATGCCGCTACTGCTGTTCCCTAGGGAAGGTTCCCTAGGTAATGCTTTGAGACTCCTTATAGTGACTGCTGGGTGTTGCTGCTTGTTCTGAAACAAAGTCAAAGCTTTATTTGTAAACATTGTGCAGTATATAGTGCAGCACAGCCCCCAGTACACACTAAGGCAAGTTTATTTTTAAGTATTACCTGAGCCAGTTCCTGTCTGTGTTCTACATGGCTGTCAGAATCATTATTGTGATTCTCCTGTGATCATTCAATCAATCAGTCAAGCCCCCCTCCTTCTTCAGAAATTGTTAATAACACTCTAGGGTATGCTTATATTCAAAATGCATAGTCCATGTTCGAGTTCTCTGCTTCATTAACGATCCCAGCGTCCTGCCCAGTCATAATCAGAGCGGGCTTTGATCAATCCAACACAAGCCCCAGGTTGGACTGGATCCCTGCCTAGAGCTGCTGTGTGTTAAGTTAAATAGGGCAAGTTTGTGACACACCAACTTCAACGTGAAGAGACTTTTCTGCCAAATTTGTCACCAAATTCTAAATTCTTACCTAGATAGTTAGTTTTAGACATTCAAACCCTTTTTTTACCTCCTTACCTGTGCATTTATTATGATTTATTTTCCTCTTTATTGTGATTGCTTGCAGATTGCAAAGATCCCCTCTAGGCATGGGGCATGCCAGTCAAATTACTTCATTTCTCATTTTATTCATGGTACAGCTGTTTTCCTTTGATTGGAGTTTTATAAAAGGGAAAGCAACTCCATCTGTTTGGCTGGGCAAAAGGAAGTAGCTATTTCATTGACAGATTATCTCTGGGTCACTTTTACATCTGCACGCAACCAGAAAAGCTTTCTAGATATAAGAGATGCTACTAGTAAAGCAGGTGTCTTGTATATAGTAATGTGAATCATTCTAAGTTCTGTAGCTCTAGGAATCTTAAAATTTCATTCTTTGAGAAAGGGCGCAGGAAGAAATCTGCATATGAAATATTTTTTTCTTAACTGTCACATTGCAAGAAGCTGGTGGGCCAGGAAGGATCTCGGAAGTTGTCCCAATTGCCATATTTTTAGATATGCAGCTGTACGGACACTGGAGGGCAGGGAGCATAGGTTAGTGATGGTCTATCTACAGTCATGTAGAATTGATCTGAATTCTGGTTTTGTGTACCAGCATTTACTGCTAAATGATTTTGGATACAACAAATGAAACTGAAATTTTATAGGAGTGCTCAATATCAAATTAATAGGAAAATATTCTTTATAGTTACGAGTACTGCTAAAAAAACAGTTTTCAAATAACATCGTCTCCCATCAAAGCAAAGAGCTGGAATCACTTTCTGAAATATTTTTCCACTTTCATTTTAGCCAGAATGTAAAGAATATGGCAAATGATAAAGCAGTTCCCCATGAAACAGCTGGCATGCAAGACTCAACACAACTCATTGCTCCTGGAACCCCGATTCAGTTTGATATTGTACTGCCTGCCACGGAGTTCCTGGATCAGAACAGAGGTGGCAGGTACAGTCAGAGACAGTCATCACTCTCAACGGAGTGATTTCAGAGATCGCTAGGTACTGCACAGCATTTGTGGCAACAATCTGTAATTAGAGTTTTTATTGTTATTTCATAGGCGTTCAAACCCGTTTGGGGAATCTGAAGACGGCAGTAAAGATGAGGAGGAAGGTAAGTAAGAAGTGCTTCATTCTCCTAGTTAAAATTAATCATGATCTTATGTTTAATTTATCTGTCAACCTATCTATCTTGTCTCTTAATGAAAGCAACCGATATCACAGAGCATCAGTAACAGCCCCGTAAGACAGCTGAAGGTAGCTACTTCTCCCAAGCCTGCCTTCTGAACACCTGTAGCTGTGAGAAAGCACCTCTTTCTTGACTGTTGAGGCTGCATCCCAGATCAGCTTTACTTAAAAAGATGAAAGGCAAAAAGATTGGCTTGGGTTGATTTTAAAGGGTAGCTCTTGACTACTTCAGAAGAGGTTTGATGGGGCTGTTTGGTAACCACGCTGTGGGCAGCAGCAGCAAGAGGAGATCCCTGCTGGGATGGGAGCTGGAGCTGAGCACAGCCCTTAGGCGAGGGCCCCGCTCCTGGGCCTGCAGCCCCGCTCTGCAGAGCAGCCTGGGCGCAGCGGCAGCGGAGCCGAGCGTTCCCGGAGCCTTCCCGGAGCCGCGGCGTTCCCGGGATCCTGCCTGGCCTTGCTGTGCTGAACACGCAGCGCCTGCTCGAGTGAGAGCTGCGTCCCCTGTAGGGAAGAGATTGGTAAGAGAGGCTCAGTGAGCAAGGAAGAGCTGAATGAAAAATGCATTAGGATCATCTTCAGGGAAGGGCAGGAAGGCTTAAGACAAACAGGAATATATAAAGTCTAAAGGTAAGAACTGGTTTGATGTCAGCCAAGCATTATGCATAATTGTCAGTTTATCACAGTTTATTTGTCATGGTTCCTTCAGCTTGTAACAAGATATCAAGTGAATTATACCAACTAATCAAAAGATTCATAAAGGACTAGTTACATTTTTAAAAGCTTCCTAGGAGCTGTGATTTTGTTCTACTTGCTGCCTGTTCAAGTACTCTTGAAAACTGGGTCAGAGCAATGCCTGGCAAATACGGAAATGAAGTCCCCACCCAGTGCTCTGTTGCTGAGTTTGGAAGGAAAAAAAAATGTATCTGCGGGTAGGTTCAGTTTTCCAACAGCTGAGGTTACATGTGAAGCAACACACTGAAATAGTTAATGCCTTTGATGTTCCAGATTCACTCCTGCAGCAGATGTTCGTAGTCCGGTTTTTGGGCTCCATGGCTGTTCAGTCCGATGACACAAGTGAGGTGATATACGAAGCTATGAGACAAGTGTTAGCTGCTCGAGCCATTCATAACATCTTCCGTATGACCGAGTCCCACCTCATGGTCACCAGCAAGAACCTGAGGTACAATAAAAACCTCATCTCTTATTTCTCAGTTTTCTTTTCTCTTTGCATAACTTCAGATTAGTGGAGTAGTTTTGGTTTTGTTTTTCCAAGAAATACCCTCTTGGGGTGTCAGGATCCTGAGATTTATTTTCCTTAGTAAAATGTCTCTCATTTTCTGCAGTGTCTAGAAATCATCCTCTTGACAAAGTTGTACAAACATACAGAGGATGTGGTAGGGCTATAAAGCACTCAAAAGTAGAAAAATGCATTGAAAGACTGCCCTGAAATGCAGCCTTTGCATTGAAAGCTGCCTTGAGGCCCAGGCAGGTCCTCTTCCTCCACTCGCACGCACCCGCGTCGCTGCCACAGCGCCGGCGCCTTGCCCTGTCGTGCGTGTTTCACCGCAGGGCACGTTCGCCCGAGGCAGTTGCTTTGCTGCAGTGAGCTCAGGTTGGCAGCAGGGCCGGTTCGTGCACACAGGGCGCTTCACCGGGAGCGGGTCAGCAGGAGGCTGCGACCACAGCTCGCACGGCTGGGAGGCAGGGGCAGGAGATGAACTTAACGCGCTCCATTCGCATCGGTTCCTCATCCCCAAAACAGTGATAGCGACTGCCTCTGTATTGCAGAGCACCCCGAAGTTACCTCTTTTCTTTTTTCCTTTAAATTCCAGGTTAATTGACCCTCAAACCCAAGTTACGCGAACAAGTGTAAGTAACTTCCCTGTATTTTGCTGCTGGTTTGCTGCCACAGCAGTGAAATCTCAGTCACGTGAACCCGAGGTCTAGTTTGTGCTACCTAAAATTGTTGACGATACTTTTCCAGTTTGACCTTGCAAGCGTGACCCAGTTTGCGGCTCATCAGGACAACAAGAGGCTGATTGGTTTTGTGGTGCGTCCCGGTGACACTCTGGGAGAGGAATCCCTGAGCGCGTATGTTTTTGAGAGCAACACGGAAGGGGAAAAGGTTTGCATTGCATTTAGTAATACACTTCATTTAGAAAAACAGCCCTTAGGCTTCTTAGCTTACACACCAGGGAAACTATAATAGAAGCAAGAGCAGCTAGGTATCTTGCTAGGGTATCATGCCTTAGTGTGCAAGACTTGATGGCTTCAGTCTAAACAGGAAAAAAAACACACCCAAGAAAACAAACTAATTTGTAGCTAATGTAGCAGACACATGTAACAAGACAGAAAAAATGTGATCGCTAATGCGAGAGCTACAAGGAAGTGCCCCTAGCACCAGCACTAACAAAAGTGAACGTCAGCTCTGCCGAGCCAAGCCCGCCTGGGAAGCGCTCTCGGAAAGACGGCCGGGCTTGGTGAGCACCACGGGGGAGAGCTCGGTGCTGGCCGCCTGCAGTAATGCGACGGGAACAGGATAAATAAAGGAGGAATGCGCTAGGGAATTCTTCTGTCCAAGAAACAAATAAAAAGCCTTAGCTTGAGGGCGTTCTCCAGTGCACTTCAGCACCAGTTTGGAGAGGGAAATCTCACACCCAGCAACAAAACCAACTCTGCTGAACAGAAAGCTGAATCAACTGGCCTTAAGGGAGCTTTGAAGCAGCACCAAACTGAGTCCCCAATAGTTGAAAGGGCAGTTTCATTTTTATGTATTTTTTCTGCTAATTGATGTCTCTGTTTTTAGACCTTTATCTGAGGTTGCACTGATGCTTCTGTGTGTTAGTCAAGATTAAGCAATAATACCCCTAAGAAACTAAGATGTAAATACCATTTTTTTTTTCAGATTTGCTATGCCATCAGCTTGGGAAAAGAAATCATTGAGGCACAGAAGGTAAAAAAAAGTGTTTTAATTTAATTCTTGTATCTGTGTTTTGATGCAGATTCTTTTGGTTATGGTTGCACTTTCCAGCTACCTCTGCATGGGGGAGCACTTCCAAAATTTTGCAGGCAGTGTTTCACAGAACCAGAGTATCTAAAAGTCAATTTGACTTTGCCAGAGCCTGATTTGAGATAAAACATGACCCCCTTAATCACATGCAGGATGATGCAAAGCTATTTTTATATGGGGATGGATGCTGGGAGCAAGGTTGAAGTAAATCTTTTGGCTGAAGCACAAATTGCACCTATTATGGTGTCAGTTTTGGAAACTCATATTCCTTCCTCCCTTAGGGAGAAAAGCTCACAAAAAGCTTTTTCGCTTAAAAAGAAAGGCAAAGTTACCCAGCCCATTATATAAATTTACCCATGTAAAGATTTGGCTAAAAACGTTTTCTGTATATTCCTACTGCTGGGATTTCAGAAAAAGTTGGGGAAGGACCTTTTGATCACGCAACTGAGCAACTATAGCAACTGAGAAGGTGGTCGAGCAATTATTTAGGATTTTCTCTTCCATTTTCAGCAATTACAGCAATTCCAGGCCAGAGCAGCAGAATAAAAGCTCAATACAAATGATCCATTTTTACATACCCAAGGGGTTCTACTGAAATGAAATCAAGTTCCTGTGTTTCAAAACTTGAGGCCAGAATGACTTGCACTAAAACCTTTAGGTTAAACACTGTCCCAGAAGCGCAGGTTACGGATCTTAGCAAGTCCCAGGAGCGCAGTGTGCTGCTCTGCAAGGTGCTGCAGCAGCTCAGCCTCGTGTCTGCTTGTTTTCCCTTAGGACCCGGAAGCGCTAGCTCAGTTAATGAAGTCTGTGCCATTAACAAACGATGGGAAGTTTGTGCTCTTAAACGACCAGTCTGAAGAGGACGGGACCCTACATGAACAAGGGGAAGAGTCAGAAGCGTAAGAAACACCACAGCAACAACGAAACTTGTGATTTCCCACAGCCTCTGTGGGAACAGGAAAAGCAGGGAGTCTTCTTGCAAGAATCCCTGCTTTTAATCATCCGTGCACACACTGGGCCAGCTTCTGCCATCCTGCTAGAGAGAACATGGCATCCTTGCAGTGGATTTGCCCTGGATTTACAAGGAAGCAAAGCTGAACTCGGCCTCCAAGGCTTTGGGCATCTGTGGTTCCGCGTAGCTGCGCCGGGGAAGCTGGCAGTCCTGGGAACGCTTCCGCACCGGCCCCTTGGCGCTGGCAGGGAGAAGCTGAGCCCAGCTGGGAGCCCCAAAGGGTTCGTGTCATCGCCCCACATTTAAGGGAGCAGCAGCCTGCACTTGCACTGACACCAGTGCAAGCTGTGAGCTGTCAGCTCCTTCAAAAATAATCACAACTAGGACTTCCCTTTCCTGCCATAGGCATCGGTTTTCATAGCTCACAGGATTATGTACAGTTGAATGAAGGTTCTAAAAAATGCACTATTTACTTTATTTTCAGATGAAGTTATTTTTAGTCTAGTCTAAGTGTAACAAGATTTATCTTTTGTGCTAGCCTATTTACAAAACAATTTGTTAAACACTAAATTTTTCCTATTAATATAATCTATTTTTATATGGCATCTGGAATAAGCTTACAAAACAAATTTTAAGTGCCTACTTTTACCTTCCTGGGGACCACACTCACGTTCTGTAATTAAATAATGGATAGAATGTAATGTACCTTCTTGATTTATTACTCTAAGCACCACTGATACGCAAAGAGCAAGAGGAGTCCACAGCTGCAGCAGGGTAGTTGTGTGCAGTTTTTATACGGTTAGGTTTCTTCAGAGAGTTAAGTTGACAAATTTGTAGAACAAATAAGTACTTTTATAGAGTCGTTTGTGTGTTTAACATTATGGTGACAAAATACATGAGAGTGTACCAGCAATCTTCAGTTTTAAGAAGCTGAGCAATAAAATGCTAGTTTATAAGTCTCTGGTGCATTGAGCAGTGTCCCAATACATTCCTGAAAGGAGGCACTATGGTTACTGGCTAATAAGTTTAGATTTTTTTTTTCCAGTTTAACGTTGCAGAAACCAAGCAAAAATAGACAGTACGTGGAAGAGAGGGGACCAACAGGGAAGAAGACATTTGTAAGGTTTTTATTTATCAAGCAAAAATAACTGGAACAAGAGGCTGTAATTCCTCAAATGATTTTAATTCTTCTCGCGCATTTGCTAAGAAAATAGATTTTCTGTAAGCAGGATCTCTGCTTTCCGAAAGATCTCAGTTTGCAAGTGTTCAACATGGAGTAAGTTCACGTAACTAGTTGTTTAATGTTTGTAGTAATGTGCAAAACTTAGTAACTGGCACAAACCCTTCTTTGCAAATAAAAATTGAAGCTATTAAAAAGATTAAAACCAGCTAAGCTCCTGTTACTGAAGACAACTAAGAATGAGGTTTTCAAAATTACATTTATTAACACCGTTTTATGTACAGAGTGTACCCACAGAACCAGACTGAGGTAACAAAATACCGTTTCATACAAGGAGTTAGGAAACGCAAGTGTTACATTTGGTCCTTTGTACCTGAGAAGCTGAAAACGGTTGTCCCGGATGGACAGGAGCTCAAACTCCAGTTTACCTCCAATTCACAGGGCGCTGGGGGAGCCCTGCCAGGCGCCCTCCAAGGGGCAGCAGGGCCATGAGCAGGGACATGGGGCGCTGAGGGGGGCCCAGGGGCCCGGCCCACGAGGCCTTGGGAGGAACCGGGGCAGCCCTGGCGCTTCTGACACAAGGGCAGAGCGGCACGTCAGGAGCTGGTGCCACTGGTACCTCTTGTGACGGCTCCGTCATGAGGAAACGCTCCGGAGGACAGCGGGGCGGTCGCTCTGTCAGGGAGACAGACTCGCCTGGGGCCTGTCCTGCCCATGGAAAGAGCTGGAGGGCAGAACGACGTCTCTGCCACAAGCTCTTCCTTTACCACCTCTGGGAATTTTGAGTGAGCAAGAGGTTTGGATTAGTTACATTTGCTTTGAATCCATCCTCACTTCTCCAGACAACCTAGTTAGTTAGGGTCCAATTTGTTCCTACAGTCAGAGCAGGAAGGCAAAAGCAATGCAAATTGGTCCAGTAGTAGCACCGCAGCCAGGATTTAATGCAACGTTCATTAACACACAGGACATGTAAAACTGGGGCCCTCCTTGTATTTCAGATAGCACAAAGCTTCCTGCACCTATATGCTGCTACATGACAAAGTTCTTTGCTTGTTTGTTTAAATACAATAACTACAACCTGGTATTAGCAAGAATAGTTCTTTATCACTGTACATATTTGTGAGTGCGTATATATATATTTCTTTGTTAGTTAGGCCATATAGTATACATTCAGATCCCCCAGATCTAAAAAGCATTCTATAAAAATAAGCATGTGTCTTGTGGAATTCCCACCACCAGAACCACACGGATTTCTAACCACTGAACACGCATTATGAGAACGCCCAGGTGAAGGTTAACTGCAAATGATCACCTGTCTGAGAGGGTGTCCTCAAAAGAAACAAAACGAGAAGGGAAAATGGAAGTGCAGGTTCCACAGAGCACAGGCAAAGCCTTGACTGAGCGTACGCAGCTGTCCAAGCCAGCCCGAAGGGAATCCCCACCTACGGCTCGTTCCGCACTGGCCAAGGAAAAGGGGACAAGCCCAGAGCTCTGCCACCCGAGGAGCCAGGCGGGTGGCCCCCTGCGCCCACAGCCCCTGCAGCACCGAAGGGGCACGGGCAGCACCGAGGGGGCGGCTGCTGCCCGGCTTGGCCGGAGAGTCCAGGCTGCCAAAGCGACGACAAGTGTGTGGAGAGAAAGGCAAACTGAAACCGAGCCGTGCAGCGTTCTGGGGGCAGCCTCTGCAATTACAATGAATCCCAAATAAAAGCCTCAAGGAGCTCAAGCTCATTTAAACAGGCGTGTTTTCAGAAACACCAAAAGGACTTGCACGTGAGCCTGGCCTCTCCAGTTGCAACAGAAGATTTCTAGTTTTCTGAGAGTTAAAAGTGACTGGCAGAAAAGGACGTATCAGGGATCCCAGGAATTATCTTAATCAGTGAGCCACGGGTAGAGCAATTACAACCATATACCTTAAAATCTCATCTTTTTTGTAATTAGAAGAGATGAAAGAAGCTGGCAATTACAGTCTAATTGCACAGTTAAGGGCCAAAAAGGAAGGAAAAAAATAGGTGAATCCCAGGCTGACTAGAGTATTTATTCTAGCTAGTAAGTCCTTATTTTATACTCTGGGACACTGAAACACAATTGTATCTCTTAATGAAACTGGCACTCATTTTTAAGCTAAGCCTAGCTACCTGCTCAAGTCAGGAGCCTGAGTAACTCTTGCACAGTATAGAAACGTCTACTTGCAGGCATTAAACGATGTTAAATTTATACAGAGTTCTCACAGTGTTCAGCAGCTTCCGAAATCTGCAGTGCAATTCTTGTTAAGGATCGGGCAGGGAAAACTGTACGGACAGCAGAGAACACAACCGACCTACAAAGGCAGGGAAATCCAGAGCCGAGGCTGGGACCTGCGGGTAGGCACGACGTAGGCATGATGTGCAAGATCACTTGGCAGTGACAGACACCCCTCGCACAGTGTCTGGTCGTAAGAGGAAGAGCTGATTGCGGTTCTCTCTTGGCTCTGGATTTCCTGACTTCTGGGGATGCGAATCAGACCTTCGGCATGAAGGGAAGAGTAGTTTGTTACATTGCTTTCCATATTCCCCTGTCCCTGATACGGGGTCGGGGAAAGGGCAGGGAGAAATAAATACCCGACAGGATTTTAAATTTCCCACAGCCCAAATAATACACCAAAGGTTTTAGTGTAATACAACATTAATAAGGATTTCCAGCTTGTGCAACAGCTTTAACATCCACTGTTCTGCCCACAGCGTAATCTGTGACTGCCTTCAATACAGCAGCACTGCATAAACACAGGCCCATAGTATTTTGGGCAACGAATATGCTCAGTGTCTTGCTTTATTTTTTTTCTGGAGGAGGAGACACACCTGCTAAACCACTGCTGGGAGGCTTGTTTTTTTTCTCTTTATTCCTCTTTATCAAAATGCTATATTAGAGATGCAAGAAAACATCTAAAAATTAGAAGGATTTCTTGATACACACTTCTGTAATTTAAAATAGCTTCCTCTGAAGTCAAGTTTTTATATTGTTATTTTCTAGAGAAAAAGATTGCTGTAAATACTGTAAATAAATAACCCCTGAAAAATAGAGGTTTCTAAATAGAAAGAGAGACAAATGCAGCCTTTGCAGCTCCGGATGTTGGCATAACTAGTATACATTTACTACTGGGTTAGCTGAGAGTGCAAATCAAATCTAGAGCTTTTACTCCTACAGAGTATTACTGATAGTGACAAAGAAAAATGAGTTATTCAAGTAAGTCATTACTCATCCCCCATACCAGATTTATCATTTCACAACAGGATCTGCGGGCGTGGAGCTGGGAAGATCTCCGTTGCTTGTTTTAACAGATTCCTCTGCAAAGATGAAAATTGAGGACAGATAATGTTTCATATTTTCACAACAGTAAAGAAAGTCTTAGCATCTATATTATGCTCACATCACAAAACACACAGTATTACTATGCCAGCACATCCTAACTGATCCTGTTGCCAAAAGCATCCTGGCCCTTTGAAGAAGTCCCTGTTTGGGGCTAGGGATCTCTCCACAGCAGCAGAATGGCCGATGTGAAGAACAGATATTGACGCTCGCACGTTTTGCAGAGCCCAAGTCCACATACCATGGTAGAAGGCAATGATACTACAGAGATATTCCCAGAGATATTACTCTGGTACTCCAAGCTTCTGGTATTCTGGTACTTCGAGCTGCTCTCACTACTAGCATGTTTTACACTGAAAACTAAATGGGTATCATGACAGCAAATACTCAACCTGAAACATATTTCAGTAACTGCTGTTCTACAGGATGCTCTATCAAAACAGACAGGATAAGTTACCTATTCTGCTCATCACGCTGCTTATAGCCCCCTCCTCCATCAGGCAATTTTTGGAACAACTCCACTGCCTGTGATCGAGTATGAATTCATAGTTAAAGAACTTTCTTTGTGAACTAACTAGTTTCTCTGGTGTAAAGAAAAAAACATTGATCTTAGGCTCAATTGCAGCAACCTCATGGGTTACTCACTCTTGAGTTTCTGTCAGAACTACAGTGGAAGGTTATTTACCAATTCCATTTTTAATTATTACTATATTCAGCCATGAATTAGTGTAATTAACTATAAATAACTATAATTTTAATTATTACTATATTCAGCCACTCACATTTCCGAGTCTATTGTGATTCAACTGTATTTTCACATCTTAACCCTTGGCAGCGTTCTTATTTAAGAGGTTTTAAAACATACATGATGATTTCCCACAGCCAAAAGACTTTCCCAGGATTCAGAAGGGAACATATACAAACATGCACACATCTGTGTAAGAGCAAAATTCCCATGTTCACTCAAGAGATCTTACCACCAATGGCTACAATAACCTTTGAGTAATTAAATGGTACACCAGAACACATGATAAACACCTGAAAGTTAGTTATAATAGTTCCAAGCATCATCTGCCTATGCAAGTTGCAAAAACATCTGTTCAACAACACGTGAAAAAAAAAAAAACAGTATTCAAGCCCAAGTTGTGCAGAAGAGGCTGCCATTAACAGAACGGGTGACAGAGAGGGGAAGCCTGATACTGAAGTTACTGAACTTAATAGTATTGCTAGTCTGAAATTCTTCCTGGCCTAGTTTTTTCTTCCCTCTAGAGGTCAGCTTAAAATTCCCCCATGCCAGAGAAGATCTCTAATGGATTTTTCTTCACTCCTGCTGA